GTTAATGGCAAGGAGAAGACACTGGGAGAGAAAAGAAACAAATTTTTATTGTGATCAGCTCCCAACATCACACAGAAAAGTAGAACTTCCATATTCCCAGCGCCGAGATGAAACAATTATCAAGATTTTTCTCGGACTTGCTTCCAGCATTTTTCCTTTGTCTTTTGTTTTGTTGCTTAAATATTTTTAAAGCAAATTCCAGGTATCATGTCATATATGTTTCAATATGCATCCCTAAAATATTTGGGCACTTTTATTATATAAAACTATTATGCCAGTATTAATAATATTACTCTTAATTTACAAAGATGGTTAAATTCAGGTGTTTTTTTTTTAAGATTTTATTTATTTATTTGACAGAGAGATAGAGAGAGAGCACAAGTAGGCAGAGTGGCATGCAGAGGGAGAGGGAGAAGCAGGATCCCCGCTGAGCAGGGAGCCTGATGCGGGGCTCGATCCCAGCACCCTGGGATCATGACCTGAGCCGAAGGCAGACGCTTAACCAGCTGAGCCACCCAGGTGCCCCAAAATTCAGGTTTTTTAATTGAGATATAATTGACATTAATTTCAGGTGTATAACATAATGATTCAATATTTGTATATTTTGCAAAGTGATCACCACAATAAGTCCAGTTAACATCTGTCACCATACATAGCTTCAAGTTTCTTTTTTTTTTTTTTAAAGATTTTATTTATTTATTCATGAGAGGCAGAGAGAGAGAGAGAGAGAGAAGCAGGCTCCCAAGGAGCAGGGAGCCCGATGTGGGACTCGATCCCAGGACCCTGAGATCATGACCTGAGCTGAAGGCAGACGCTTAACCATCTGAGCCACCCAGGCACCCCTCAAGTTTATTTTCTTATAATGAGAACTTTTAAGATCTGTCTTAGCAACTTTCAAATATGCAGTACCATGTTATTAACTGTAGTTACCACACCATACATTACAACACCATGACATATATTTTATACCTGGAAGTTTGTACCTTTGACCCATTTTACTCACCTTCCACCTCTGGCAACCACCAATCTGCTCTCTGTATCTATGAGCTTGGTTTTTTTCCTTGAAGTTTTATTTTAAATTGGATTAATCACTTTTAGATACGCTTTGGTTTTGTTTTTTTTTTTAATAAAAGATACCAACTATTAAAAAATTCAGATTTGAGGCACCTGGGTGGCTCAGTCAGTTAAGCATCTGCCTTTGGCTCAGGTCATGGTTCCAGGGTCCTGGGACTGAGCCCCACATCAGCTCCCTGCTCAACTGGGAGCCTGCTTCTCCCTCTGCCTTCCACCCTATGCTCTGTCTCTCCCTCTCTCTCTTTCAAATAAATGATTAAAAATCTTAAAAAAATAAAAATAAATTTTAAAAAATTAAAAATTCAGATTTAAAATATGCTGAGGCTCAACGATGAAAGTGTAAAATGGAAATAACTTATAATTATGTAGTATTCCATGTGACTTTTAAGGGAATCATATCTACCTCCTTGGCTTCAGTTATGTCAAGTATTATTTGCATCCCCGATCTCTCTGAGCTTACTGCCTACTCAACATCTCTACTTCAAAGGCCCAAACAGCTCTCAGCATCTCCAAGCCAAACTCCTGGCCCCACTCCGACAGCCCCCAAACTCTTTTGCTAGTATTTCCTGAATATCACTGGATGGTAATACATCTTGTCTTTCCATAAGTTAAAAACTTACGAATCATCTTTGATACCTCCATCGACTTCAGTCCTATTGGCCAGGCCAGCCAAAGACGGAGCCTTATCAATTTTACCTCATTTTCTTTCTCAAATATTCTATATTTCTCTTCTATTCATTACTCTTGCCGAAGCCACCAGAATTTTGATACTCTTGCAGCTCTTCTCCATATTGCATTTGCTCTGTGCTCAGTTATGCCACTTTATACTGGGATGAGATCATCTTATTATGTGTATCACTTGGATAATACAAATAGAGCTATTTATTAAAAGACTGGATAGATCGTGGGAAGTGGTATATATTATAGTTGTAAAGGTTCAAAACACCAGTTTTTAAAACAATAGGATTTATGAAATTGAAAAATACAAAATAACTAAATTGGTCTAAATCAGCGTATTTCAGTTGCGTTTGTTATATGTTATTGAGAAAACCTTGATTTGTACAAGTCAGTAGTGACCAATGAGGATTCGAAACACTTAGTACCTGAAAATATACTTTAGCTCAACTGTCCTGGAAGCCTGAAAGAGGAGCATAAGGAAATTGTTTCAAAGTTGAGTTACTGAGAGTATCTCACAATTTGGCTAATTTCTTAATTTTGCAGGTGTAAAATTTAGAAAAAGTATGTGAAGTGGTTCCTCACGAGTTTCAGTCTTTTTTGGGGGAAAATATAATATTGCAGTGTTTAACAGCATCATTTTAAAAACTCGCAGGTGCCTTTGAATATTCAGTTTCAAGACAAATTTCTTGTTTTGTATGTTCTCAGATTCTCTGACACCAACTTGGCATCGGTAGCTCAGTGACTTCTGACGCTAACTATCCATAGTTTCCGCAGGCCCCACAAAGCAAGTGTTCATTCCCACAAGACTGTGCGCCTCCCCTCCCTCACTTCATTCAGATGCCAGTTGCAAATACAATTTCAGTACTTCCGACCAACTGGCTTTAAATTGGGGGGTTCCCACAGCCCCCCTCCTCAGGTTTGGCAATTTGCTTAGATGACTCACAGAACTCAGGGTGCAAAAGACAAAGTGAAGTGAAGGTGCAGAGAGTCCATGCCCTCTCCTCTCTAGTGCCCCACCTTTCCAGCACTTTGAGGAAGTCATCAACCTGTAAGCTCCCCAGACCCTGTTGTTTAGGGGTTTTTATGTAGGTTTTATTATTTGGGCATGTTTGATTAAATCGTTGCCTGTTGATGATTAGACTTCGCTTCCTGCTTCTCTTCTCCCCTGAGGGTGAGGGTGAGGGTGAGGTGGGGCTGACAGTTCCAACCCCATCATTCTGGCTTGGCCGTTCAGGTGACCAGCCCTCATCCTGAAGCTCCCTAGGGGCAGAGGGAGAGGGAGAGAGAAAATCCTAAGCAGGCTTCCACGCCCAACGCAGAGCCCAACATGGGGCTCGATCTCACAACCCTGAGATCTTGACCTGAGCCAAAATCAAGAGTCGGGCACTGACTGAGCCACCCAGGCACCCCTTTACTTTCTGTTTTTAAAAAGAAATTCTTTTGGGGGCGCCTGGGTGGCTCAGTCGTTTAGTGTCTGCCTTCAGCTCAGGTCATGATCCCAGGGTCCTAGGATCAAGCCCCGCATCGGGCTCCCTGCTCAGCCAGGAGCCTGCTTCTCCCTCTCCCACTCCCCCTGCTTGTGTTCCCTCTCTCGCTGTGTCTCTCTCTGTCAAATAAACAAAATCTTTAAAAAAAAGAAATTCTTTTGAAGTATGTTAAAGCAAATCCCAGATACAATATGTTAAGAGCATCTTAAAAAGTACAGTATTAATAATAGTTAAATGGATATTTGAAAACAAAACTGACGTTGGATATTGGTAGAATATCTGAAGCAACTGTGCAGAACAGTTTGTAAGCCACTGCCTACCTAATTCTAGTCATAAAGGAGCCATGTGAAAATAGATCTGAGTGCTTTAAAAAACTCTTCCTGTGGTCCTCAATTTTTTTGATCCTGTATTAGGATTAGGGTTAGGAAGTAGGATTAGAGGGTCATTTTGGAGTTCCCCTTAAAATCATGAGATACCAAGATCATACCAGTTTATTTGGTTTTTGCTGCTACTATTCTATTGTTATTTCAGGTATCGAAGTTAGGAAAGCACGATCTTAGTTTGTGCTTGAAAGAAATACCCTCGTGTACACCTTCCTAATTGCAGCATTTCTTCTAATAAAACCCAAGTTAGAGAGGATCTTTATTTTTCACAGGTGCTTTGAGAGACTACCTGGCCCCGCTTAGTGACAGAGCTTTGAAAGAAAAAATAACTTTATTATTGTATGATTTGTGTCTTAGTAAAATAAGGATTATTTGTTATTGTTTTTAAATGACATCAGTATTTTTTTAAGTTTTATTAAATCCAGTTGATTTTTCTGTTTTGAGTAAGCCCTCTGCCCAGTGTGGGGCTTGAACTCACAACCCTGGGATCAAGAGTCACGTGCATGCTCTATCGACTAAGCCAGCTAGGTGCCCTAGGACTATTTGTTTTTAAAGCCATTTCTGTATCTGATTTTTCAAATTAGTTTTTTTTAATTTCAAGGTTTTTTTTGTTTTTGTTTTAAACACACACACATTTTTATTTATTTGAGAGAGAGAGAGCATGAGCGGGGAAAGAGGGAGAGGGAGAAGCAGACTCCCCGCTGAGCAGAGAACCCGATGCAGGCGGGGCTTGATCTCAGGACTGTGGGATCACGACCTGATCTGAAGGCAGACGCCCAACTGACAGAGCCACCCAAGCACCCCTGATTCTTTTAGTTTTTTAAGTCTACAGAGAAGTTGCCATGGTGGGTAGGCCATGGTGGGTTTTTCATTTAATTTTGAAACAGTTCAGTAACTTAAACACAGTTCAGTAATTTAAACAATATTCTGGGGAAGAGGGGATACTTGTTTTTGCCATCCAAAGATGAAAATCTGCTTTCTGCCTAACATTCAGACCCTGAAGCTGTCAGCGGCCAGATCTGACCCCTCTCCCTTAGCTGGCATCATCTAATGTTCTTTCCAATCCAGTTATTTTAGCCTATAGAACAGTCTCTCGATCTATTTAGCTTTTTCTTCAATAGCTCTGTTTGGTATAATTATTGTTTATATAACTGGGATGAAACACGTATACAGTTTGGGCTAGGAAAATTGATTTTAGAGGTAGCACCGGCTGTTCCCTTTCAGTCTGCTCTGCTGGCCTTGCTGAATCTTAGAGATGCTTAATAAAAGCAAGGAGGGAGGAACTTGGTGCTTATCTCTGTGGATTCAGCTAGTAGAGATTATTTATCCATGCCAAAAAGATAAGTCTTTAATAGATGGCTTTTGTGTTTTGTTTTAGAATCACAAGAAGCTGATGAACAGCTGGTAGCAGAAGTGGTTGAAAAATGTTCATCTGAGACTTGTTCTAGAACCTCAGAAAATGAGGTAGCACAGCAGGCTGTTGATTCTTACACGGCCAAGGATTTCAAAGAACCTGAACACGAGAGTAGCAAAATTTCAGTAGTGAGGCCATTTTCAATAGAAACCAAGAATGCCACGGATATCCCAGCGGCTCTAGGAACAAAGGCCGCTTATGGCTGTGTAACTGTGGTCTCGGGTGAGGCTTTGCCCTCCAGCACACCAGAAGCCATCCTGGACAAGGCAATGACCGAAGGCACCATGGGGGTTGCACTGGAGGCTTCCACAGAAGCTGACCTAAAGGCTGGCAGCTCCTGTCCAGAGCCTGTTCCCAGCAGAAGCAAGCTAAGGAAACCCAAACCCGTCTCTCTGAGGAAGAAGACAATTGGTGAATTCTTAGAAACTGATACTGCCCTGGAGAGCACACCTCTCCCCCAGGCATCCTATCAGTTCTGTCCCGATGAGATGGATGGGAACACAAATGCTTTGCTAGGAGGTGCCAGGATCCAGAAATCTCCCCCTGATATGAAGGAAACATCGCGCACTCCCAGCAGTGACACCAACGACTCAGGAGTTGAGCTGCTGGAGGAGTCAAGGAACTCACCTCTGAAACTAGAGTTTGATTTCACAGAAGATCTGGAAAATATAGAGCCCAGGAAAGGCCTTCCAAGGAAGGTTGGCAGGAAACTGGGTAGCAAACTGCCTCCCAAGGTACAGAAAGATAGCATTAGTAAGCCAGTAGGCGCCAAAGGTACGGACCAGCCTGCAGACCCCGCTGCACATAGTGCTCCTCCCTCCCAGGCATCTGCCAAGCTGGATCCCAGCCAGTGGGATCACCACAACTTCAATCCCTTTGGGGGCCACTCAACTCTGCAGAACTCCCCCCCTCTGTCCTCTAAGGGCTCCTACCACTTTGACGAATCCATGGATCCCTTTAAACCAACTACAACGTTAGCAAGCAGTGACTTTTGTTCTCCCGCCGGTAATCATATTAATGAAATCTTAGCGTCACCCAAGAAGGCAAAGTCGCGTTTAATAACGTGAGTGACGAGGGGCGCGGGTGTTGTGTTCTTTGTACTCTGAGTTTGGCAGCTGACTGCTCTGGTTTTGGCCAACTGAAGTTACCTTTGAGGTGCCACAGGGCAGACACACAGCTCATAGCTTTGTGCAGCAGTCCTCACTATCTTGCTTAACTCTGGTGTAGGGTCGGAAACACCAGAGGCTTCCTTTTCGGGCGTCTGCCTTGTTTCTGAGTCCTCAGCTTATTCAAGCTCCACACCTTGGGTACTTTTCTCCTATTTAAAAAAAAAAAAAAGAATAGCATACAATAGGTTAGAGATTTGATGGTTTTCAGAAATCCTATCTGGGCTGTCAGGAATTAACTTTATCTACAGAATTCAAGTGTCAGTGCTAGCCACCACCTTCAGATTCTCTATGGATAAAACAAAAATTCCAAGCCTCCAGATTACCTGTCTAGTATCGGTAACATGTGCAGAATGGTCCCAAAAGGTCTTCTAGAAGTCTTTCACTTAAAACAGGAAGCTGTGATTTTTGTTGGAAACAAACCTACCGCTAAAAGTTGGTAAGAATTCTTACGTCTCCGTGTTTAGCTTCTGGCTCCATCAGTAAGGCAGTAAATGTCCAGTGAGAATTAAGAACATTTTGAACATTCATGTAAATCTGACTGAATTAGTCTTTTGTTGTGTGTTGTCTCCCTCCTCCTCCCCTGCTTTCTGGGACCTCCATAACCACCTCTGCAAGGTCCTTGGTGTTCTCAGAGTGATCAAGCTGGATTCCGTGTAAAGTTTCAGTTTAAATTTGTTACAGGGTTACCTTTTCCCAGAACTTGGGTTGATGACAGTATATCCCTTTGTGACCCTGTGACATTTTACTAAAAATGAGATAATAGAGAAGGACCAATGACATGGAGGATGAAACGTGAAAAGGGAGGATGAGAAGTACCATTATTTCTAGCTGTCACCATAGATGAGTCAGGAAAGTAATGGTCTGCAGTACTGTGACCCGACAGAGCATGCTAGATGGCATGATGTATTATATTAGAAAAGTTTAAAGAGCAGAAAGCATCAGAACCAAGAAGCTTGAGCCATGAGAAATCAGTTCCTCGGCAACCCCAGAATGTCCAAGGTGAATGAAATGTCAGCAGTAGTTCTTGATCTGTTCTTTGATTATATATGAGCAGTTAAATGGTTGCTGGAAAATATTGATTGGGCATCCTCAGAGTGCTCTTCTGTGACTGAGGCTGGTTACCTCTCACGATGGTACTTTGGGTATGTGTTGGCCCCGTCATTGCCTTGGTGCTTTATAATGTGGGATGTCCAAAATACGGGGTGCTTCTGGCTAGCAAGGTTTATAAGGAGTCATCGGGGGCCTCCCTACAGTTGTATGTCGAAGCCATGTAGCCAGTGAATTCATGTTAGATCAGATTAAATTCTGGACCAAAGGGAGGGGAGTTTATCCTACACTTAATTTGCAGTAGCAAGAAGTACCCTCTCAGATCCTGCCACTCTCACCCGCTGGCATTTTCCTCCTGTTCTGTTCTTGGTGAGTGAACTTCTTGATTTAATATGCCTTACAGATTTTTTTTTCTAACTCTTACGCAATCAAAACTCTTGTCTCCTTGTTCTTTCTGTAAGAGAGGGTGCTCCACCTCTTGTGTAACTCTGGGGTTTTGTTTAGAAAATCCCTTCATCGGTAGGAAGGGCTGGAGGTGTACCTGTGAAGGAGGTTCGAGTGGAAAGTTTGAAGTTCTGTTAGCAGGTTACTTGTGGGGCTTTTTAAAAGATGCATGCAATTGGCATCTCAGATTCTTCTGTAAAGTGGAAACATTGTACCATCTATGATTGGTATTTTATGGCTCAAATAAGATAAATTATGTAAAATCACGGTAAGCTTCTTAGTGATACACACATACAGTAGTTATAATCTGATCCATTGTCAACTATTGTTGTATTCACACACTGCCTTTAATCTGGATGACGAGACATTTATGAATAAATGTTCTCAGTAGTGAAATGTTGGTTTTATATATTGACAAATATTTGGAAGTTCACTTTTCATCTATAAATTTGAATATGAGGCATTTCTGAGTGTTTCTACTCCTCTTACTCTGTTAGAGGTTCCTGATAATCATTCGCTCACCAATGATAACATTCATGAGTATGACATTTTTATTTGTATCCCACCTCATAGAAAGAATTTTGCAGCCTTTACATCTGCCAGACTACAGATAAATATTCCAGGCTTTACATGATTTTTTTCTCCATCTGTCTGTCTCTTTTCTGTCTCTAATTTTGTTGGTGCATCAGGACTACTGAACAAGTGAAATTTCTCTGTTTTCTGTTGTAAGTACTTCTGCTGTTTCTGTTTGTCCCTGGGACTGTTGGCAGTTCCTCTCCCCAGACCATCTCTCCATAGCATGTTGGCTTGTTTCTGAGTTTGACCTTCTGATGATTTTTTGCATTTCATTTGCCACTTCATGAGTCAGCTTAGCCTGGCAATTTGTACCTAAAGGAGTGGACATCAGCCTTCCACCTTAGGTGCAAGAGCTTGCGCTCCCTGGCTTGGCATGCCTCACGTGGCACTTTGATAATGAGCGCTGGCTTGGCCCCGAGATCATCCTGACAGTGGTCTGAGGGACTGCTCTGCTGTTGTTGGAAATAATTGACTTTTTTGATAGGATAAGGTTGCTGGCTTGGAGCAGGGGATACATTTTAGAGGCAACTCCAGTTTGGTGGTTTGGTAGCAGGGGGTGGCATTTAGTAAGAGCATTAGTAAAAGAAAAATCCAGAAACTAGATAGTGAGCATGCACATTCTGGTAACTTTATATGCTCCTTCCTTCCCCCTCCCCCCAGAAGAAGAAGAAAAAGTTGTAAATTTATTTATTTTGGCAGAGTGGCTTTTTTACTGGGAATTTTAAGTTCATTAAAACAGAACAGAATCTGAACTAGTCTTCAGGTCATAAATTATGTGCCAGTTCCAATCTTTGCACAAATACATGACATTCGTTTTCCATCTTACTGCTTAATAGAAATGGTAACCATTTACACAAATATTTTTATTTTTGTACTTTCCGTTGACCATAGTTCTTCTCTGTTAGCACACAGGTCTGGAACTGTCTTATCAGACTTATGTGGTTTTTAGTGCAATAAAGAACTTTTTTAAAGAATCTGGTCCAGTGTGGTAATTTTTCTAATGAATTGTCACAGCCAAGTGAGTAAGGATCAGATGAACTGAATGTCTCTAGGTGCTAAGGGTACCTCTGAAAGGCTTGGTGGTGTGTAAGCAGAAACCGCAGGGGTCAGGGTACTGGTGTTAAACGTCCCACAGAAGCACGTGAGGAGGTCTTTTCAGAGAATGAGCTGAGCTCTAGTTCCTTGCTTGCCCTGTCTCCTGGGAGAAGATTCAGAGATGTGAAAGGTGTTCCCCTCTCTAGTGTGTAGATGTAGAACGTGTGTGGTGCTGTATGCTTTGGCTTTTCTCTGCACACATTGCTTTCTCTGCTCCATCTCATAGCTTGGAAATTGTCAATGTGATTCCAAAATGGCCTGTTTTTGTTTTTTGTTTTTTGTTTTTTCCTTTCCAGGAGTGGCTGTAAGGTGAAGAAATATGAAACACAGTCTCTTGCTTTGGATGGCTGTTCTCAGGTGAGTCTCTGCCCATCACCAGAATGTCTCTTAGACCAGGGGTACCCCAAACTGGAGTTTGTATCCTCCTGGGGGGCAAGGGGGAGCCAGGGGGGATTAATGAAGAGTTTCCAACAGGTGTCTTGAGTATCTAGCTTTGAGGAAACCAATTTTCAGACCCTTAATTTCCTAAAGTGACCTGAGAAGGCTCCTGAGAACAGGGAAGCCCCCTCACATTAACCCTTTTTCCACTTCTGTTGGGTAGTTTCCTCCCATTCTAAATCTTACTAAGATGCATTTTTACTGGGTATGAAATGTCTGGGACATCAGACAAAGGGCTGATTTGAAATACTGATGCATGTTTAAGAAAGTGATTAATTCTAATAACTGGATAACAATTTTTTTAAGTCAGATGGTTTTCCAATTCATTGCTTTTAGCAAAGTAGGAGAACCTGAGTTACCACCTGATCGATCATTAAAAATTATCCTTGACACGCTGTTAAATGTCAATTATATCTCAGTAAAAAAATTATTTTTTTTAAAGATTCTATGTATTTGAGAGAGAGAGCATGAGCCAGGGTAGGGACAGAGGGACAAACAGACTCCCCGCTGAGCAGGAATCCCCAAAGCAGGGCTCTATCCCAGGACCATGAGACCTTGACCTGAGCCAAAGTCAGATGCCTAACTGGTTGAGCCACCCAGGAGCCCCCCCAAAATGATTTTTGATAATAGAATTTTTTGGTACATAACTTGGAAGGGGGTTCCAAGAATCGAGAGACATATTTCTATTACAAAACTTTTTTCTCTTTCATCTATTTGTATAAGTAAGCTTAAATATCTAAGGCTTCTTATTGATTTATAATTATAAAAATGAAAAACAGGATTAAAATTCATATGGACCCTTGTTTCCTTCTAGCAATAAATATTTGTCCATGACTATGAATTGGGAAACATAAAAGAAACAAAAATCCAGACCTATTTGATTGAGACCCTTTTTAAAACTTTATTTCAGCATAACTGATTATAGAAATACATTCATTGGTTAATAAAATGCATTTTAAATTTAACTTATTTTACACAGTTTGGACCAACAACTTGGTATATGGCTGAAGATTAAAAAAAAAAAATTTGCCCTCTCACTTATTTTTTCATCTATTACAAATGTGTAAAGTATCCACTTTCAAATGCTGCTAAAGCAGGCAACAAGAACCATGAGAAATTTACCTTTGATTCAGAAAAATAGCACATATGACACTGCAAAAGTTTTAAGTAATTGGTACAACAAAATGTAATTGCTACTTGTTTTTAGTATCAATTTTTGAATTTTATAGTACTTATCAAAAGTTGTAATAATTTTAGGATACACTGTGCATTAGTTATGTACAATGATTAACTCTCCAGAAGAAAAACTGTTAATACTTAGAGACTTACGGTCATAGAAATTTTTTTTAATTTTAACTTTTTTAACTGAGAAAAATGATAGGGAGAACTTTAAAAGACTTTCAAGTATACAAATGCTTTATTTAAGAATAATTTCTTGGTGGAAGTAGAAGGGAAATACAAATTCAGAGGGGAAAAGCAATGATGCAAATTTCTGACTTAAAATTATTAAAGAGTGTGTGTTCATGTTTGATTTTAAAGAGATGATAGAGCATCATCAAATCACTAGAGTAACTAGATTGAAGTAAGCAAGGCCAGTTTTTAAAGTATACCAGATTTTTTTTTATATTTATGCTGAAAAGTTTTTGGAAGTCACCTGAAAATACAAAGGGGTACATTGTTATTCCAAAACAGTTCAGGGAGTATATGAGCAAAATATTTGAAAACCACTGTGGACCACTTAAAATTCTGGCTTATAAATCTAGGCTAGAAAAGGTTAATTTTTCAGAGGTCATGTGTGAATAACAGAACTTAGGTTCTAGAAAGCATAATATTCATGATTGAGAGACCCCAGCTTCCTCCTTGACTGGTGCCAAAATCTGTGGTTAAGTGTTCTCGGACACCCGTGTGGAATGGTGTCTGAGATGTCGCCTTCCCCACTGTTGGTCCTCCTAAACGGTAGCCTCTGATCTGTTGCATTTCCCAGGATGAAGGAGCAGTGATCGCCCAGATTTCAGACGTTTCTAATAGGGATGGCCACGCTACTGATGAGGAGAAACTGGCGTCCACTTCATCTGGTCAGAAATCATCTGGGGCCGAGGTGAAAGGTGAGCCAGAGGAAGACCTGGAGTACTTTGAATGTTCCAATGTTCCCGTGTCTACCATAAATCATGCGTTTTCATCCTCAGAAGCAGGTATGGAAGTATATGTTCATCTTTCTAATGTACTTAAGCCTAGAAATGCCTGAAAGCCTAATGCAGGAGACGCTTTAAAGAGATTAGAGAATTGGGTCACTTGGAGGAGAGATCTGTGCTTTGCTTCTTTACCTAGAAAAGAGGCACAGGAGGGTGTCTTGTTGAAGTACCAGAGACATAGGGATGAGTGTGGCAGAATGCACAGGAGACGCTGACGTATGAGACTGCTTGAATTTTGAATAATTTATTACATGGGACCACATCTCAAAATACAGTGGCCTATAGCCATGTTGTGATTGTTGTTCAACTTAGAGAAATAACAGTAACACGGAGAGTGCCTTACCGTGTGCAGGCACAGTTGTAAGTGCTTGACATCTATTAATTGATTACTCCTTGATTGGTATTGTTTTTTTCCCCCATTTTTCAGAGAAGGAAGGTGAGACATAGAAGTTAAGTCAGTCAGCCAAGGTCACTTGACTAGCAAATGGTAGAGCTAGGATTCAACAACAGTCTGGTTTCACAGTCTTTTAACCGCAGTGCTAATGTGGGAAGAGATTGCTTTCATGACTAGAATATTATACATTTTCCTGCTCACTGATGTGGTAGATTGAAATTGACTAATATCCTGAAAAATCCTTAATGCTCTAGTAAAAGAACTAACTAGACTAACCTATGCTGAAGCTTCTCACTGTTGAACTTGTAAGAACATTCTAGAGCTGAGGCCCTTGTCCAGGTCCCAAGTTGTATCTGTGGCCTTAAACTTGACTTGTGAGATGTTTAGAAACCATGTTCCTGACTACCGTAAACATTATTAAAAACTCAGATTTTCAGCAATGTAAGTTGATTTGGGGACTTTTATACTCAGAATTTTAAAAATCACAACATGTCATCAAACCAGGGAAGCAGGTGGAAGTCCAGACTTTGCAAGAGTTCTCTCCTCAGCCTCTCCCCACTGCCCACATCTCCATCTCCCATCTGTAGAGTAAAGATGCCAGGCACTATTCCACATTTCTTCCCAGGCCGCTTTCTGCTCTGACATCATCCCAGGGATGATCCTGAGTACTCTTGTACCTACATTATTTCTTACATTTAAAATGCCTTTCTTGGGGTGCCTGGGTGGCTCAGTCGTTAAGCGTCTGCCTTCTGCTCAGGTCATGATCCCAGGGTCCTGGGATCAAGCCCTGCATTGGGCTCCCTGCTCAGCAGGAAGCCTGCTTCTCCCTCTCCCACTCCCCCTGCTTGTGTTCCCTCTCTCGCTGTGTCTCTCTCTGTCAAATAAATAAATAAAAATCTTAAAAAAAAAAAAAAATTAAATAAAATGCCTTTCTTTGCCATCTTCTATAAAAATTCTGTCTGTTCTTTCAGGTTTCTGTCAAAAGTGAGACTTGGCTTCCACACTGTGTTCCCACTGCATTTCTTCTTACTACTCCTATTCCATGTATTTATTATAACAGGTGTCTCTGATAAATTTCTTGAGGGGCATGTAGATATTTGATGGATTATATTCTTCCTCACTAGAGGAAATTCCTCCAATGGAAATTTCTAGAGCTGGGGTTCTGTTAGCCACGGTGCTGTCCTCAGAGTTAGTGAAAAGCTAATGCTCCAGCTCCAAGGACTGATAGCCGTGTCCTGGGAGCAAGCAAAGGCTACGGTCATGCAGGGGTGGTAAGCGTTGTGGAGGTGGGAAAGGAGTTCTGGCTCTGTCAGGGGAGTCAGACTCTCTGGGGAGAGTCACCTTTGCACCAGGTCTTGATAGATAGACACAGATGTGCCCCAGGGAACGAGAATCTCTCCCAGGGGCAGGAAGGAACCTGCCGTGTTGGTAAATGCTCAGCAGTTCTCTGTGAATTCAGGACAAGTGGGAAAACAAGGTTGTACTGAGGAATCTGGACTTGATCCTGTTGGTAAAGGGGAGCCATTGAAGGTTTGTACGCAGAGTGGTGATGGTCACATTTGTGTTTTAAATAATTCACTGTTGACAGTACACTAAAATAACAATTCGCTGTTGCTACATGGAGGATTGTAGCTTTAGAATTGTGGTTTTTTTCATATTGTAAAATTTTCTTCAATGAGTGCATATTCCTTTAATTAGAAAAAGCATAATTTTTTTTTTTTTTTTTTTTAATGTTGCCTTTGGTGGTGGTAGACAAGTGTGAAAGCGTATGGGGAGGAGAATGAATTTAGTCTTTCGGGCATTGAAATTTAGAGCTTATTGTTTTATCTGCTACGTTAAATAGTCTGAGGGTACCCTTCTGGGCTGGAATGTAAATTCACTCAGACCTGCTAATAAAAATAACATTCATATTGTGGTTTCCTCTTTCTGACATAGTCCCATGGTTGTAGTAACAACTTATTTACAAAACTTTTTACGGACACAAGGGGGCAGCCTTGCTGTTCTTTCCACCTGAAGATGGTGATTGTGTGTATGGCTGTCTAAGGGCAACACTCCCCTTTCTTCTGAGTATTTCGGACTTTTAACACAGACAACACATCCATCAACAAAGTGCCGGTGCTCCTTTGAAAATCTGGAAATGCTGTTCTTGGGTTCATAGATGTCACTCTGGGCCTGTACTGGGGTCTCCAGAGTCTTCATCAGGAAAGACAGGAACTGACTTCTTGGGATAACTATAAAAATGACTCTCTGTGTTGTAGGTATAGAGAAAGAGACGTGCCAAAAGATGGAAAAAGATGGATCTGCCATGACTGTAAGTTCCTACACTTGTGGGGGGCAGGGGAAGTGTGGGGCTCAGGGTTTTTTTTTTTTTTTTTTTCAGTATTTATTTTAAAGCCCACATTAATTCATTAACTAAATTGTAGTCAGTGTTTGGTGACGGGCTGAAATATAAATAAAAGTTTCTTCACTTGAGGAGCTCGTAGTCTATCCTGATATCTATCCAGTAGCCATCAGCCTCATGTGGCCACTGAGCACCTGCTCTGTAGTTAGTCTGAATTGAGATGTCTTGTAAATGTAAAATATAACTAGTCTTTAAAGACTTAGGACAAAAAAGAAAAAAAAGAAAAAGAAAATGTCTCGAACTTTTTATATTCATTACATGTCGAGATGATCCTATTTTAGATGTATTAGGTTAACTGAACTATATTATTAAAATTAATTTTGTGTGTCTTTTTACTTTTTAAATGGCTACCGAAACATTTTAAATTACCAGTGGCTTGCATTGTAATTCTTTTGAACAGCACTGGTAGTGGATACAAAATGGAAACTAATGAGACGGTGTGAATGTTGTAATCCAATGTGTTCCGGGGGCTGTGGGAGCCAGGGCTGACCGCCTGCGCGGCAGGTGTTGGGGAGGCTGAATTTGAGCTCATTAAAAGCAAAATTATGTTACACTTTTTAGACTTAGAAAAATAGTACAAAGAATTCCTATAAATCTTTCACCCATATTCCTTGAATGTTAACATTTTATATAATCACAGTACAGTTATCAAAATCAGTGAACACTGGTACAGTATTATTATAATACTAAGCTATAAGCCGTATTTGAATTGTGTCAGTTGTCCCGGTAACATCCTCTTTCTGGTGCAGGATCCAGCTCAGGATTCCATGTTGCATTTAGTTCTCGGGTTCTCAGTCTCCTGTAATCTATGATAGTTTTTCAGTCTTTGTCTTTCCTGACCTTGACACTTTTGAAGAATACAGGTCAGTGTTTTGTAGAATATCTTTCATTTTGGGTTCGTCCAGTGTTTCTGCTAATTAAATTCAGTTTATGCATTTTGGGCACAAAGCCATCAGAAGTGACCTTGTGGATCCCAGGTTGTCCCATTATTGGTGGAGTTAACTTTGATCACTTGGTTAAGGTGGTGTTGTCTTAGCTTCCGCCATTTGAACTTAGTTTGAAAGATAAAGCAGTGAAGGGTGTTCTGGGCAGCAGAGTTGGCCTGCACAAAGGCTGGGAGTGAGAAGCATGGGCTCTATGAGGAAGTGGAAGTGTTAGTCATCTCGTGTGAGAGGGTAGCCCACATATAGTAGCTGAGGGCCAGATCATCAGGGGCTAGTGACATGGTGCCAGGAGGTTTGAAATTTGTAGTAGAAGCAGTAAGGAACTATCATGGGGTTTTAAGTAAGGAGCATTGTGATGGGTAAGAGTTCAAAGGATGGGGTGGAGGCTGAGAGAGATTTATCAGGTAGAACCATCACCGTTTGGTGACTTGGGAGATGTGCATGGTGGCTGGGGTGGAGTGGTGGTGAGAGAAAGTTGGTGAAAGCCACCCAAGGTTTCTTCCTTGAATGTCCAAGTGGTCAGTGTTACTGATAACCTGCCCGGCAAATCTGGGGTGCCCAGGGGCTTCTCCCTCCCCCTTATTCCCACAAGCAAAATCTGCTGTTTAAAAGTCCGGAAACCATATATTGTAAACCCACCAATGTTTCTCCAGCCCGTGGCCACCACCAGTCTTTTTAAATATGGTGGTAGTTTCCTAACCAGTCTCCCTGTTTCTAGGCTGTTCTCTCATCCTTTTACATAAGCCAAGGTAATGTTTTAAACACCAAACTGATCTTGTTACTCTTTGCTTACCCCTCTTGGTTGGCTTCCCTTGTCTTTAGAATAAGTTCAGACTCTTCCGGCGGCGGATGTGGCTTTCTGCACTGGGACTCTGCCTTTCTCTCCAGCTTCCACTGTCTCCTCTCTCCCTCACACATCTGACTGAACCACATGGAAGTTCTTTCAGTTCTGTGAACCTACCCCTTGGAGTCACTTCTTGTTCTCCCTTCCTTCCTCCCAACACTAAGCTTGGTGAAGGTAGGGACCACGACTGTCCGTTTGCTGCTACTTCAGCACCTACCACAATAAATTCTGCTGAACACAGGAATCAGTAAAGTAAGAATACAGAAAGAGGAGCAGAATTGTAGAAGTTAATTTTTAGATCTGTGGCTTTGAGACATCTGTGGGACCAGTTTCTAAGTCCATATTTCCAGGAGGCAGTTCTGATAAGTACATAGCATGAGTTCAGTAAAAGCCTGGGTTGGCTTTATTTACAATTTTTTAAAAGATTGATTGATATTTATTTATTTATTTATTTATTTATTTATTTATTTATTTTTAAGATTTTATTTATTTATTTGAGAGAGAGAATGAGATAGAGCATGAGAGGGTCAGAGGGAGAAGCAGACTCCCTGCCGAGCAGGGAGCCCGATGTGGGACTCGATCCCGGGACTCCCGGATCATGACCTGAGCCGAAGGCAGTCACTTAACCAACTGAGCCACCCAGGCGCCCTGATTTTTATTTTTTAAAATATTTTATTTATTTATTTGAGAGAGAGCATAAGCAGAGGGAGGGGCAGAGGGACAAGCAGACTCCCTGCTGAGCAGGGAGCCCCAGGTAGGGCTCAATCCCAGGACCCTAAAATCATGCCCTGAGCCAAAGTCAGATGCTTAACCGACTGAGCCACCCAGGTGCCCCAAAATTTATTTACTTATTTTAGAGAGTGAGTGTGTGCAAGGTGGGGAGAGGGAGAGAATCCTCAGACTCCCCGCTGAATGCAGAACCCAATGCGGGCCTAAATCCCCAGACCTAAGGTCACCACCAGAGCCAAAACCAAGAGTTGAAGGCTTAACTCACTAAGCCACCCAGGCACCCCAGCCCTTAAATCTATTAAAGCCAACCCAGGGTGTGCCTGGGTGACGCAGTGGTTAAGCCCCTGACTCTTGGTTTCAGTTCAGGTGATCTCAGGGTTGTGAGATCAAGCTCTGCATCGGACTCCGCGTTCAGCATAGAGTCTGCTTTAGACTCTCTCTCCCTTTCCCTCTGCCCTTCTCTCTCTCTCTCTAAAATAAATAAAATCTTTAAAAAATCTGAGGGTCTTTAGGACACAGGATAGTTGAAGCTATAGGATTAGATGAAGCTGTGATTGAAACATCCTTTACCTTAATCCACAGTAAAAATGTTTTGCATCTTGACTAATATATATATGTATATATGAATGACACATCACAACGTATGCATTTGTATTTTTATAAAACAAATTGCACAAAACAGTATCTACCTTTCTTCATGTGATTCGCTCTGATATTTTTCTATTCTATTTCATTTTTTAAAAGATTTTATTTATTTGAGAGAGAGAGAGCAAGCATGAGAGAGCACGAGCAGGGGAAGAGGAAGGGGCAGAGTGAGAAACAGACTCCCCACTGAGCCGGGAACCTTGATTAAGGGCTCAATCCCAGAACCCTGGGATCAAGACCTGAGCCAAAAGCAGACGCTTAACTGACTGAGCCACCCAGGCACCTCCTCTCTTTCATTTTTTAAATTCCATTTCATTTTTTAATGCCGATTGCATGTCCCAGTAAATTGTTTTCAGGACTCACTGTTAGGCCAAGACACACAGTGATTCCCTAGAGGACACAGAATGAGCAAACGTGAAGGTAGATGGGTGAAGGAGTAGCCTGTGGAAACGTGGGCAGAAGGAAGACATACACAAAGCACATAGGGTCTCAGGAGCGTTGTCCCCCCACAAGGGCCTCACACATTAGTGAATTTGTTTCTGGACAAAATCCTTTTTTGGGAGCCAGGTCACCTAATCCCAGGACAGCCACTCATGGGCCTGTCTCTCCTCATCTGTGGGAGGGAGGGATGCCTGCCACCCCCACCCACAATAGGCTGACATTACACACGCCGCTACCCAAAGAGCCTGCTCATGCACTTGGGGAAACCAGTTCCTTTGGAAGTTTTCTAAGTACTAAGGGAGCACTTTCTTGTATTTTCAGTCTTTAAAAAGAGCAAACAGATGATCGGGGCAGGTTGTGTCGAGTGGACCAAGCCTTGGTCTGCGCAGCTGCAGGTTTAGGTGGCTTCCCCAGCGTTGGGAACAGACTGGTTCAACTTCCGGATTCCCAACTTCTTCATCCATAAAATGAGAGCACCTATTGGCCTCGTCCGGTGGTCATGAGGATGAAAGGCAGTGATAACGTCAAAAATGGGAGCTGCAGAGTGGTAGGCCACTGTCAGGTGGGGTGATGCTGCCAGGAAGAGGGTGGGAGAGTGAGCGAGAAAGAAAAGTGGGGAATACTTGTCTTTGGAGCTAGCTGCCGAAGAACATACCCTATGTTGTGATCTTTTAAAAGTAACCCCAGTGGAACTTCCTGAAATCAATGAATTTCTACTTCCTAGAATGTGGAATAGGCGTCACATAAGGAAATTGCAATATTCAAAACATTGAATAAAGAAATCTGGTTCATCTAGCATTGACTTGTTTAAGCCTCTCTGTGTTTCTTGGAAGTGCATTCCTGTTGCAGCAGTTGGTGGTAGCCGGGGCGAAGTGACTAAGGCCAGAGTGCACTCACTGGTGGGCAGTGAGTCTCATCTTGCTTATCATCTATTGATCTGCAGCGTTTTTCAGTTAGGAGTCAATTTATTTTTTTAGGAAGGCTTAAACTTCTAAAAATTGAGTTCATTTGGTTTTTCCAAGGATATCGCTATTAGAGCTCAGTGGCTGGGGTGCTAGTACTCCAGTGGGTTCAAGGACAGAAGATGGGATGAACTCCGCTTGCTGTGAGAGACTAACGGTGCTCATTTTCCCACTGCAAGGACATGAGCAGAGAGGTTTCCTTGGTGGCATCCGTGCTCACTGCCAGTCTGCAACAGACTGCATTGAGTTCCACTGTCTAGAGACAGGTCTTTCTTGGCCCTCAGTTGTGAATGCTTTGGGAATAGGGGAAAGGATTAGGGGACGTGAAACAGGATCCTTTGGAAGGCTGGAACTGACTGATTAGGTTAGCATCTTTATTAAACATAATAGATTACCCAGCCCAGGATGAGATTGTCAGGTCAATTCTTTATGATGGTAGATTCCGTAGGCTTTCTGTGCTGTTGATAAGCAATATAAAGGACTAAAGAAGGTGAAAAGCTAAATCCTAGGATTCTTGAAAAAGGTGGCTAAACTAGGCCCTGGCCGTAAATTCCTCATAAAAGCTGTTGCATTTTGCATTTAAGCCGTGAGGGGAGAAGCACGGGGCCAGGTGGAAGGGAGTGATCAGGGGAGGGCCGCAGGCCGCAGAGCCCACTCATCTGGATAAATCTGCCCCCATCTAAGGTCTGATCACCTGCTTCCACTTGGAATGTTGCCTCTTCCAGATACATTAAGTTGTTGAGCAAGTGGGCAGACAACTCATGTATCCTCTCAACAAATGAATGAGATGCCGACTTCTAGAATAGACGTTGATGTTTTCCTTACTAAAAAAACTCTTTTTGGCTTATTTCCCAAAATCTTGCTAACTTGAGGGTCATGGGAGGCACAGAAGGGCTGTTTCTTAGAATTGATTTGACTTGGTGATTCTGGCTTCAACTAATAAAAACACAAAAGACTGATTTTAAAATGTATTAACTTAGAATCACAAATTTAACAAAGTGAACCAAACGTGTCAACTTGACCTAGGGTGTTACCTCCCTGTAGGCAAGTTACATGGGAACAAGAGTATGAGAAAGTTTCTTGAGGGAGAAGCATGGCACAGGAAGTTAATGGGCTGACGACTCAAATGTCCAGAGGTTTATTCATTATCCACAAGAAACATTTCTGATGTCCTCCTTTCTGGCTCTGGAATCCTGGGGCGGTTCTGCTGGGTGCCTCTGACCTTACACAGGCTGCAGTCAAGGTATTGACCAGAGCTGCGGTCACCTCCAGGCTCCCCTTGGGGTAGAGACACTTCCAAGCTCACTCACGCGGCTGTCGCCATGTCTCAGGTCCTCACTAGCTGTTGGCAGAGACATCAATTCCTTGCCGCGTGGGCCTCTCCATAGGGAGCTCTTCACAATGTGGAAGCTGGAGTCTTTTTGTAAACTAATCTCAAAAGTGACATCCCATGGCTTTTACCAGTCTCTTCAGAAGTGAGTCCCCAGGTCCAGCCTAGACTCAAGGGGAGGAGATTACATGAGAGGATGAGTACCAGGACGGTGGGGGTCATCGGGGGCCTGCCCACAAGTGGCCTCTGGCTCTAGTGATAGATCTGCCCCATGACAGAGAGTGTTTCTGGGGGGACCGTGGACTCCTGTCAGCAGGGTGGGCTGCCTTCCTCCAGATGCTGCTTGAAACGGGCGCTGCCAGCTTGTGGCTTTCGCATTCCCCATTTCCCTGGCCTAAGCCAGGGTTTTCTGTATCAGGCCCTTCTACGTGAAGCTAAAGGCAAAATTATGCGTGAATTTTTGAGCATTTTCTAGAGAAACAGTGAGTTGCAATGACCGTGAAAAGTTTAAAAACTACTGGTCTAAGCTGACTCTGGACTTTCTGTTCAGTCTTGGTTCAAACAAGATACCAGAGAGATTGGTTATACAGATTCTTAAGAGTGTTAAGATTATTGCCAGTCCTTGGGCTGGCATTTTGGATGTTATTAGATCAGCTTTTTTCCTTTTTTTTTTTTTTTTAAGATTTTATTTATTTATTTATTTGAAAGAGAGAATGAGATAGAGAGAGCATGAGAGGGGGGAGGGTCAGAGGGAGAAGCAGACTCTCCGCTGAGCAGGGAGCCCGATGCGGGACTCGATCCCAGGACTCCGGGATCATGACCTGAGCCGAAGGCAGTCGCTTAACCAACTGAGCCACTCAGGCACCCCAGCTTTTTTCCTATTTACACAAAAAGTTTACTTACACAGGTGGGAGGAAATAGCCCCAAAAATGCCTTTTAGGAAAGAGCAGAGAATGAAGTCCATGTTCATGTGAAAAAACCACTACTGTGGCTTTCTGGAACCTGAGTTTACTATAAAAGCAAGCTGCCGCACCAGAAGGGAACTGAAAACTTAACAGCAAGGAAGAATCAAAAAGAATAAAAAAAGTGAAAAGTGAAAGCGCAGGCATAGATCTGGCCACTTTGTACAGGGACCATTCATGGTGTCCACCTGACAGCATCACTGGGTCAGGGCTGGACGTCACTGCAGAGCAGCTGAAGTTCCTGGTGGCCCCGAATCGTTCCAGGGGTGGGGCAGGGGAGTCAGCATTCAGATGTGTGTGCCATTTCTGCTTCCTGAAGCCTGAGAGTTACTAGTCCATTTTAGAAACATTTCTATCCAAGGTGACTAAAGAGGTACACAAAAGTATCAATATGTTTGAAAGTTGATACTTTTTTTGGGAAAAGTTACATGGAATGCATTATCCCCAGAAATCCCCTGAAAAATGAGACATTTTTCCTTTTCAAGCATGTGATTCTTTGGTGACCGGTCACTGTGATAATCACACTTTCTCCTTTTTGGATAAGGAGAGAACTTCACTAGGCTGTCTGTTAAATGGAAGTTAACTTGCTCCCCCCCACCCCCATATTCATTAGAGAACTTTTTCCTTCAGATTGTACTATAACTAGATTTGATTTTATTTTTTGAAAGCTTCCCCTGCTGTGTTTTTGTCTTCAAACATGTTTTTAAACATTGTGGTCCATTGAGTAATAAGGAAGTTATTGAAGGATGCTTGGGGTTGGGAAGCTGAAGCCTGAAGGTATTAAGTGTAACTTCTTGCCCCCTCAGGGACTGTTGTTGGAGTCCTCTGTGGAGAAGGCCCCCGTGTCTGTGGCCTGTGGAGGGGAGAGCCCCCTGGATGGCATCTGCCTCAGTGAATCAGATAAGACAGCCGTGCTTACTCTCATAAGAGAAGAGGTAAAGACCCTCGTGTTCTGTCCACTTATCACTCCCTGACTTTGTGAAGCCCATGCGCCAGCAGGGAGATCCCATCTCTGTTTGGCTTGAGTTATTCCTGGCTGGAAGTTCTTACTTCCTGCAGCTTGTGTAGTTCATAGAAAGGCCTCCCTGTAAAACTCTCATTGGTGCTGGAGTCCTGGGGAAAAAGCTGACAGTGCTTCATTATCTTTCAGCCTTGAAGTTTTTTGAATATTGAATTCTGCCAACTCTTCCCACATATGTAACTAAATCAGTGCCTTCGTTTAACAGACTTGCAGTAATATAAAATTGCTTCCCACTTTGATCCATTCTTTAATTAAACAGATCAACTCTTAAATTCCTTTCCTGTGTCTCTTGAACAGCCTCTGTTCAAAACAGATTCCTGCTAGGCCTTTCCTGGGTGATCAGAAAAATATGAAAGACGCAGTCATGTGCTCTTAATATTATTATTATTATATTTCTATGCTGTATTTTATGTGTTTGGCTTGTGTGTTTCTTGATGATCCCACCCTTTTTCTTTTTTTTAAAGAAGGGAATTCCCTTATTGTAGCGATGTTATTTTCATAATACAGTGAGAGTAGTGAAGAACCTGATATATAGGTCTTTTAAAGCTTTACAAAATAGCATTAGGTTGATAATGAGGGATGTCAGCTGATCCTGTTGTCAGAACTTGGGAGCAGTGGTGAGGAGGCCCTACCAAAATCTTGTCAGTGAGAAAAATGACCTCATCTTCCTTCCGAGAGTGATACTATGAGAAGACTGCCTATTGGAGCAGAGCAAGAATGTGCCTCGTCACCTGAAGCAGACGGGCTGGCTGCTAGGTTCTTGAGATTCTGATTAAAGGCACCAAAATAAAGAATGTTGTTATCAATGAGAAAGAGAGAAGCATAGAGAAGTATAATAAAAGGAGAACAGTGATGCCCTTCTAAGCTCTGTCCAGGCACACGGAGTTTGAGGTAATGATTTCTAAGGGCATCCCAAACAGGGATACGGGTGCTGGTCTGAGGAGCAAGATCCCGCCTTTAGTGAGATACAGGTGCATCTGGCTGGAGGTTTTGAACTTCTGAGCCCCTAGTTATGACTCCGTTCTTATCAAGCCATCAGAAATCTCTGTAGAACGAGAATATGCTGGTCATGCTAATGCCCTGATGCTGTCATAGTTGTTTCTTATCATGAGTAAAATTAGTACTTTGATTAAGGTGAGTCTCTGCCAGGCTGATGGCTCTTCTTTTGGTGTCCTGTCCCAATCAATCACGGTTCTGGGCCTACAGAGCTAAGAGCCAGACCCTGGACCTGGGTAAAATTCACAGAGATTGTGATTATCACTTGGAACTTTCCTGGGAGATGTTCTCTTCCCCTCTACTTTGGTGGCTACATTTCCACCATCCTATGTGGCAGAGAGTACATTTTTCCAAATGCTTGTGAGCATTATACACAGAGGTTGAGGCTTTATATTCCCAATGTAGCTTGAATGTCTTGGGATGCACCTGGTTGTGTGTTTTCAGTTTCCAATCTTAAATTCAAACTGTAATAGATTTCAGTAGGTAAAACCAAGCTTTATCTCTATTATAATTTAGATAATCACTAAGGAAATTGAAGCAAATGAATGGAAGAAAAAATACGAAGAAACCCGACAAGAAGTCTTGGAGATGAGGTTAGAGAGGTTTGGGGGAGGGGTTGGATACCTTTATGCATTATTAGATTTAATATAAATGTAGTAATGAAAGTATTTGCTTACCACAGAACCAACTGCTGAAAACTAGACGGCATTGATATTTGCACCTTAATTTGTGATTGACAGTGTCTTTTCATGAGTGTTTCTGACCAGTTATTCAAATACTGTAGCTTCTTGTGGGTTTTTGAGAACATTACAAATAAGCAGAACCCACATAGTTCTTACCTTTTGAAGAGACATCAATTTGTGCGAAAAAAATCCACTTAAACTCCAGAATAATAAGATTCATTGACATACTCAGTTATGGAGGCATTATAATTTGTAACACTTTTCTAAAATTGGTTACACATGAAGGCATTTCATAACCACCAAAGCATGTTAACAGGAAACAAAATCGATTGACCTTAAATTGAGATCTTTTTATTTTTGCTCTTCATTCCCTAGAAAGGAGAGTTAGAAGCTGTGAAATAACTAAAGATGGCATCAAAGAAGAAGAAAAACGCATAATTTATACACTCATACAGTCAGCGCTTGAATGATGAAGAAACATTTTAATTATGCCCACTTGAATTTGTAGCTCTTGTATTACTTGCTTCGTGAGCATTTCCTGGGTGTGAGGTCCCATGCTGGGTGTGCGAACAGGAGGCCCCTGCCCTTAGCTTACAGTAGCCGTCGGAAGAAACTCGGACCAAGTGATGGGCACCACCAGCGAGGGGCAGGGGAACCGTAATTCCTCACTGAGGGGTCACAGGGAAGAGCACTCATCTTACTGGAAAGGGTCAGGGATACTTCACTGCACTTCACCAAAAAGAAAGGTTAACATGACAGGGTGATCTTTAAAGTCTTTGGATAACTGAAATGCTTTTGGAACTAGGACAGTAAAATAAAATTTGTGACTGAATCAGAGGGCACGGACTGCCCAAAAGGGTGGATGAGGGCCAGGAAAGCCTGAACTCAGATCAGCCTTCTTAGGAAGAACCCCAAGAATGTCATTCACTTATTTTGTAAAAGATTGATTTGTCCAGGCAGAGTTAATGTATTGCCTTGAGGTCATTTACATGAGGTTCAAAGAGAAAGTGAAGGCAGTTTCTATAGATAAAATAAATAGAATGAAAGGCTTGTTAAACATAAAATCTTCAGAAAAATCTTTTTTGAACGTTAACAAATCTTACCTTAATATTAAAAAAGCCCCAAAGCAGATAACTGGGTTATGTAAATTTGTTCATTTGAACATCATTTAAATATTCATTGAACATCATATACAATGTTCAAATGTTCATTTGTTAATGTGTTTGTTTAGGGCAGCATTTCTCCAACTTCCATTAAAAATTCTCTTCTGATAATTTTTTTTTAAGGAAAATTGTGGCTGAATATGAAAAGACCATTGCCCAAATGATTGGTAAGGACTTTTTTTTTTTTTTTTTAAGATTTTACTTGTTTATTTGGGAGCGAGAGAGCGGGGGAGGGGCAGAGGGAGGAGAAAGATTCTCAAGCAGACTCCCACTGAGCGGGGAGCTGGACTTGGGGCTCAATCTCACGACCCTGAGTTCATGACCTGAGCCGGACATGACCAAGAGGCGGACATTTAGCCGACTGAGTCACCCAGGCGCCCCTGGCCTTTTTCTTCTGTGGTGTGAGCCATAGGTTCCATAGATGATTTTCAAATCAGAATATGAGCTTCCACTTGTCCCTCATTTAGATTCAGTTGATTCTCACTGTTTGCAGTGGTTCCATTCCACAACGTTGCCACAAACACTGAATTAGCAAATACTGAGCCATTGCTTTAGGGGAAGTACAGAGGGAGGTTCCTGCGGGCCTCTGGTCACAACATCTTTGTCAATACATAACGTTGTCTTATGTGTATTTCTGTTTAAAGACATCTGGTTTAATGTCAGTTCATTAACATTGAACTCATGGCCCTCAGTGCTGTAGTTCGTGCCTGAATGAAGATGATCTCACGAAGGTATTTTCTCCATAAGGCACATCACAGCCTTCTTGCTCACCCAGAAAGCACAAAAATGCAAAATCATGATACTAAATAGACTGAAAAGGATACTTGTTTACAGTATGAAACAAGTGTGTCGTCCAGTTCAGCCTTAGCTGAGAATGTGCACGTCAAGTGACTTGACATTTTTTTGCCCCTCTGTGCGTGACAGGGAATACACCCCAAGTACTGACTTTCAGTTTACAAGTACATTTTAGCAAGTAGATAAATTCACAAGTACACAGTCCACAAATAATGAGCATCAGCCATAGTTAGGTTCATTTTAGAGGCTAGCAAATGCTTGAATTCTGTGAAAAACTCTCCACCTGGCACCCAGAGGGTTGATGGCCTACTCACATCATCAGTACCCCTGGGTGGGGTCTTCCTTTGGGTGCAGTGTCCTTACTCTGCTGCAAGCTGTACTTTTTCCCTGTGTCCGACGCACTGGTACCTTTTACAAACCAACAGTGGTTGGTGCTCATGCGTTGAATTTAGAAATAACTCTGCAGCCAATATTGTCAGGACTGACTGCCTAAGTCTTTCTCTACCTAAGCACTGCAATGATATTTTCTACGGTCCACATCACCCATGCCTTCCCAGCATAGGGCCTTTGCCATAGCTGTTCCTCTGCTGGAATATTCTCCTCCTGGGTAGCTGCATCACCTACTTTGCACCCCTCTGAGAGGGGCCACCTATTTGAAAAAGGAACCCCACGCCTCTTGTTCTGCTTTGGTTTTCCCCCATCACTTGTCACCATCTGAATCTCCCACTAACGTAAGTCCTTGAGAGGAACTTTGTTATGTCCACTGCTGGGTCCCCCCCACCAAGAATACGGCTTAGCTCACAGAGGGCAGCTGATAACCATCTGTTGTATGACTCTGCCTTTACTTTTGTTGTGGTTCTCAGAAGATGAACAGAGGACAAGTATGACCTCTCAGAAAAGCTTCCAGCAACTGACCATGGAGAAGGAGCAGGCCCTGGCTGACCTTAATTCTGTGGAAAGGTCCCTTTCTGATCTCTTCAGGAGATACGAGAACCTGAAAGGCGTTCTGGAAGGGTTCAAGAAGGTAGCATGTCCTTTTCCTTTTGTCTCCTTAGTAGTGTATTTTCTTGGTAATGGATCTTTAAACATATATGCCAGAGGTGTGGATAGCCTTCTAAATAGGGGCTCGGGGCCCATATATCATTGGCCTTGTATCTTCTGTTCCAGTGAAGGTAGAGGTTTTCTTTTCTGTTTTCTCTTTCTGTGGTGGTTCGGGCATCTGGCCCACCAGGTGGCGTGTCTTGGTCATTCCCCTCCTAGGTCAGGCTACAGCCAGAGTGTGGCATGGAGTATAGTAAGTGTGGAACCCTCAGACCTTAGGAGAATTCTAGAAATCGTTTTGATAATTCACCAATTTAATATTAGTAAAGGGAAAATTTAGCACTAAAAAATTCAGGCTACATATTCTAGAAGAAAATAAGTAATAATCTTTCAAATTTACGTGTAAGTGGGCATATTGATTCACCTTAGTTGCATACCATCAATAAGATACATTTATAGTAGTGAACATTCTTTTTGTTTTTTATTGTAAAATAAAAATGAGAGTGGCCAGTTTACCTAAAAGGAGACTCAGATTGCCATTCACTTTTGAACTCTTTTTTTTTTTTTAAGATTTATTTTTTAAGTAATCTCTACACCCAGCATGGGGCTTGAAGTCACAACCCCAAGATCAAGAGTCATGTGCTGTCCTCACTGACCAGCCAGGTGCCCCTGCCACTCACATTTGAATGACGGCCTCCCTAAACTGGGTGTGTTGATATAACTGAAACTTACTGTGTTTTGAAAATTTATACATGAAGAAATTATGTAGAATTTCTTCAGTAAGAATTATTTGTACCTGTTTTCTCAAAAAAACTGGTACATGGCTTGTCACTAGTAGAAGAAAAATAAAATGACCAGCTTCTTTTATTTTAAATTGTCACTTTGGAACAGAATGAAGAAGCCTTGAAAAAATGTGCCCAGGATTACTTAGCCAGAGTTAAACAAGAGGAACAGCGATACCAGGCTCTGAAGATCCACGCAGAAGAAAAACTAGACAAGTGAGAACTTGCAATAAATCTGTTTCACGGTTCATGGTGTGGTGGGAAGATTGAAAAAGGCCAGAAAAAACCCTCAACGTTGTTTGGCAATTCCATGTTGCACTGGGGTGTGTGTGTACCTGTGTGTGTGTGCGCGCGCATACATTTTATTATTTAATTTTTTGAATAGGTAAAATCTTCACATGGTTCAAACATTAAAAAGAATAAAAAGATACACAGTATCTCTCTCCCATCCCAATACCCTTCCTTCTCCCCGCCCTCCTCATCACCACGGGTAATTTGGTCATTAGTTCCTTCAGTCCTTGCAGATCTACTTTTTCCCCTTCTCCCTCTCCCCCAGCTTTATGGAGATAAAATTACCATAAATCAGTGTGCAGTTTAAGGTGTATGACCTGTTGATTTGCTCCAGTTATATATCACACAACAATGGCCTTAACTAACACCTCCAGCACACCATGTGATCACCGTTTTTTTCACTGTGGTGAGACTCTCCCTTTGTTATACAGATGACAGCGTACTTCGTTTTTTTCATTTAGTGGTGTATTTTGGAAATCTTTCCATAGCAATCCATGAAGAGCTTCCACTATTTTCCTTAGCAGCCATATGGTGTTCCAGCGTTGAAATGTGTCATTTATTTAACCAAACCCCCCTCCTGTGGGACACTCAGGTTATTTGCCACCCACTACAAACAGGGCTGCAATAAGGAACCTTGGATTATTATCATTTGGCGTGCATTTTGGTGAGGTATCTGTATGCTGGAAAAGGAATTGCTGGGCCAAAAAATATGTGAATTTGTAACCATGATAAATGTTGTCAAATTGCCCTCATTCGACTTTCATCCCTACATGAAGTATGAGAGCTTCTCTTCTCCCCACGGCTTGACCAACAGACCAAATTTCCGGTTTTCTCCAAATCCAATAGATAAAGGTGGTATTCCAGTTTAGTTGGGGTTTTCTTTTTTTGATAAACAAATAGAGCATTTATTTTATTCAGTGTAGTTTTGATTTTGTTTATCTTACGAGTAAAATTGAACATATTTTAGCAACTGTCTATACACATATTCGCTTTACCATGAATGATTCTATTCTTTGCCCAGTTTTCTATTGTCAGTTTATATATTATATATATAAATATATTATTATATTTATGCACTAAGGATGCCAGCCCTTTGTGATATGAGTTGCTAATGATTTTTCTAATTTGTCTTTTGCCTTCTAGTGTTTTTTGACATGCAGGAATTTTATTTTTATGTAGTGAAATTTGTCAGTCATTTCTTTTACGCAGGATTTTCTGTCGTGGTGACAAAGATCTTCTCTGGGCTGAATATAAAATATTCTGCCATGTTTTCCTTCTAATACTTTTATGGCTTTATTTTTTTTAACCCTTAAATCCAGCACATTTGGAATTTATCCTGAGGAACAGTCTGAAGAATGCTCCCAACTTTATCTTTTAACTAAAAAGTGATACCTACTTGTACATTGTGCTTTCTATCATCATATTTGTAAAACATTTCAAGTTCCCCTCTCTCATTTTCACTCCCAGAGGTACTGCTATCAAAGGTTTATTGTGTGTCCTTCCAGTTTTTTCTTTGTGCCTTTACAAATACTACCCAAAATGGCTTTGGACTTTTTTTTTTTTTTTTTTTCATAATATCAGAGTTACAAAATACAAATTTCCTTTTTCACTTAATAGTGTATCATGGCCATTTTCCATGTCAGAACATATAGTTCCATCTAGTTATTTTTATTAGGTTGTAGGATTATTCCATGCCTTTATCGACGGGCATTTAGATAGTTTCACGCTTTTTTCTGTTGTAAACAGCGCTGCAGTGAACATACTTGTGCACACAATTGTGCAAAGTGGGAGTATTGCTGCGAATACGTTACTTTAAGGGAATCGCTGGGTCAGAAGATGTATTCATTTTAAATCATAATAGTTGCAACCATATCACCCTCCACAAAGACAGCACCAGTTTTCATTTCCCCCATCAGCTGGTGAGCCTGTTTCCTTGCATCTCGGCCATCATAGAATAAGAGCATCCTGGTTAATATTTGCCAGTCTGATAAATTTTAAAAGTTTATCGTTTAAATTTGCATGCCTCTGACTACTAATGAGTTCTTAGCTTCCTTTCATCAATTAATTGGCTATTTGTCAATTGACATTTATAGTTTTTAAAATTTCTTTTGTATCTCTTTAATAAAGTCACTTTAAGTTCTAGTGTCATAGAGGTCAGTGGTTAGTGTCCTGTAACAATCCCACAGACCCTGCCTGCTATTGTCCTAGGTTAAAAAAAAAAAATCTAAGATTGCTGTAGAAACTGTCACATGATTCCATTTTCTAGTGACATATAAATTTTGAACTCGCTGTGGCCTATGAGATTAATTCTGCCACTGGTTTTCACCTTGGAAATTTCCTTAGCAGTTGGGTGTCAATTGAATATTTATAAATTTAAATTGAATGTTTTAGGTCACTGATGTCTCCCTTATTGTGCTGTCATTGCTTTTAGCCTGTGTCCCACAGATGTCAGCGGTTAGTATCTTGACTCCTTAGCTATGGCTGATGACTAACCGGGTGTTTCTTGTCCCTTTATTCTGCAAACAAAACACCACAAACAGAGCCAATGAAGAGATCGCTCAGGTTCGAACAAAAGCGAAGGCCGAGAGTGCAGCTCTCCATGCCGGACTCCGGAAGGAACAGATGAAGGTGGAGTCCCTGGAAAGAGCCCTTCAGCAGAAGGTACACAGAGGGGTGTGGTGTGACGACCGGAGGGACACTTGGTTTTCCTCCTTGGCAGTGGCTAACTTGTGGTGGATTTGGATGAAAGAGAAGCCTTGTCTTCTTTGCCCAGACACTTTGATCCAGCTCCTCTGGGAACTGATGCAGGTGGACACAAACAAGGGAGACCATTAATTCCCAAGCATATGAGTAGGAAATATCCCCGGGCAGGATGCAGAGAGGAAATTGCATTAACTAAAGTTTAGGGGACCAGACACTTCTTAGCTCTGAGGCTACCTTTTCTTCTTTCTTTTTGTTTTTTTATGTAATACGTGACACCATCTTGCCCCTTCATTGCAACTTCACCTTCCTGGGGACATTGGCAACGTCTGGAGATATATTTACTTGTCACGACTGGCATCTCATTGGTAGAGGCCAGAAATGCTACTAAACATCTAACAATGCACAAGTCGGTCCCTACAACAAAGATTGACCCAGCCCAAAATGTCAGTGGTACCATGGTTGAGAAATTCTGCTGTAGGGAGATAAAATTATCAGGTCCCCATTTCTCACTGTTCAGTGATCCTTGGACTTCATTTTTGTGTGTGCCTCTTATGTTTTTCTCACTGTATCTCCAATTACGTACTCATGCCTGTGGCATCCCTTCAGCTAGAGCAAGGGGTTCTATCATGGGGTCTGCTAAGCCATAGACAGTGTTCCCTGGCATACTCAGACTCCAGGATCCCAGGTCCCTGGAGGTGCTGATGGGCTGAGTGAGGTCCCAGATACCTGTGTTTGTAACAAGTATCGTAGGTAATTCCTGTGATAATAAGAAAATTTGAGAACTAAGGCTCATGGACAAGCTGCAGAGGGCCAGTGGTTACCCTCATCCCCTACTCAACTGAAGCACGACTTGGTGAACACATGAACATTTTTCAGGGGAGAAGCGTCCCTTTCTTTAAAGGGTCTCTGATGTAGAAAAGTTAGGAACCACTGAGCTAAGATGTCAAGGCAGAGCGTAGCCAGCCTTGGGACTATTTAGTTGTCATTGCCTTGATCTCAGGATGCAAAGTGGCCTATATAACCATGTCATTTGTCTTTCAGAACCAAGAAATTGAGGAACTAACAAAAATCTGCGATGAGCTGATTGCGAAGCTGGGGAAGACTGACTGAGTTTCCCCCCATTAGCTCAGCAGATCTGCATTTGGCTGCTTTTCTCTTAACCACAGTTATCTTGCCTTATCCAGGAATAATTGTCCCTTTGCAGAGAAAAAAAAAACCTTTAAAAAAGCACATGCCCACTGCTGCCTGTCCCGCTTTGCTGCCGACACAACACCCCTGGAAGGAACCCTAGAGCATCGCACGGTCCTGGGAAGAGTGGCGTCCGAGTGCTGTCCGCCGATAGGTTTGGTCAGGCTGCTAAGTTTGGGGGCGTGATTTCTCTGTCTTTAGTCCGTTTTTAAAAGTCATCTTTTCTTTTCCAAGCACGTTAAATATGGGATTTTGTGGCTCCTCTTTGGGATCATCTTCTGTCCACCACCTGTCTGAATTTTTTGGTGACCTATTTAGTTTGTCTTTTAAATTTAGCGTTCAACATTGGTAGTCTTATTTGAGGGAGGAAATAATTTGGCCTATTGTTACTTCTAGTTTGTAAACAAGAAGGGACTTTGAGTACCTGTTTCTACACACATACACACGCACATATATGCTTATAGATATATGCTGCTGGTTTTTTTTCTCTGAAGCAGAGTCAAATAAGAGCTTCTCCACACAAGAGCATATTTCCATAAATGTAAAACCCTGTTTTGAAATAGAGTCGTGGCCTAGCATGCCAACCTCAGACTTTGGGGAATTGAAGGTGCAAAGACCCCAGACTCAGGTTTTACATCTGGGGAAGACTTTTTGCCACAATGTTTCGTTGCCCTGGTATTTGGATACTCCTCAGCCCTGAGAAGTGCGGCCCCAAAGGGACTGACCCCAGTCCCCAGAGCACAAAGGGCAGCCGCTAGCTGGACTCCCTCCAAGCTGAGGTTTGGCACGTCTGTCCCAGAGCCGGTCCGTCTCCTCTGCTTCTATTTGTTGCTACAAAATCAGCATTGACCCTTCATCATCTATTTGAAATATGCAAAGAAAATCTACTTGTAAAAGGCTTAGGCAGTCTCATTGAGTTAAAAGGTAACTGTAACCCTGCTAGCAATTATAAGGAGAAGAAACAGTTGGGTTTTTTACAAGTGTAATGCGTTGTTCTTTGGATTTTTTTTTTTTTTTAAGGCAAAAAACCCTTTCAAACTTAGAATGTTTAACAAAACGGGCTATAAAAATCATGTGAGCCACTCCAAAAATCAGCACATTTTGAATATTGTTAAACAAAGAGCATTTGGTGAGTGCAAGGAGCAGAACAACACTCCCAAAACCAAATTCCTGAAGCTCTTCCTGGACGTGGGTCAGAGCGATGGGGCCATTAACCCCAAGATGGCAATTTTTCCATGTAACGCCAGTGAACTCCCTTCCATTTGGTGGGCAGAACCAAATCCATGCAGTGTTTGAAAACGCTCTTTTGTCTTAATCTTACACCCTGGAAGTCTTCATGGTGATATGCACTATGTTCAGTACATGTAAGTTTTCGTACCTTTCTTGTAAAAACCCTTGCATGATCCAACTTCAGCAATGAATTGTGCCTAGTGGAGAACCTCTATAGATCTTTAAAAATGCATTTTTCTTTAGCGCTGTTCTATTCACATGGGTGCGATCTTTAGCCCCAGGGAGGTCCATAATGTCTTTAAAGCTAGAAGTCACGTCTTACCAATATGCATTTATCGTAATTGGTGCTTAGGCTGTATTTTAAAGCCTACTGTCTTAATATTTTGTACAAAAAAGAACAACAGAAATGATCTGTGGCTGGAGAAGTGACTTGACAATCATTTGGGCTTTGAGAGCAGTCACTGTGGTTCAGTGTGAGTACAATACTGTAGTCAGAGTGTCCGCAATGGACAAGTGTCTCCAGTTGGCGGAACGGATTTCTCTCGGTCCTCCACTACTAGGGAAATTAACTTTGCATTTTGCAGAAAGAAACATTGCTAAACCTTTCTGCCGCTGTGTTTTGGTGAGATATCCATGTTTATTTGTTTTATATTGATCTGTTTTAAGCATGAAAGGCTTATAGTGGTCTCCATTCTAAATTCGTAGTCCTCCATTTAGGCTTCTTATGTATATAAAAAAAAGTAGCTGTGTGTTAAAACCAAGGTGACGACAATCCTTCCCTATTACGCTGGTGGAAGAGACCCCCCAAAAGACCCCAGTGAATGAGGTTGCTGAACAAGGGCCACGAAAGTGCCGTGGTTATGCAACGTCCGCCGCTGGCTTCTCAGCCATGGCTGTTGCAAGGGAATGTTCTTCCTCCTCACTTCATAGATGGATATTCTCCAACAAGAGTAAAAATGTAGCTTGTTCAGCTGGTAAATCAAGAGAATATCCTGGGCAGAAAGAAGTATGTTTGTTTTTCTTTAAAAATAAGCAAAAGGGAAAAAAAACCTTCCAAATTCTAAGAGTGAGAACACAGCCTAGAGTTTTGCTTCAAAGCACGTGAGGGCCATGACTTGTTAGGTCGGCAATAATAAACCCCGTCAACAAGAGTGGGAAGAGAGGAGAAAGGAAGCTGTTGTCCCAGGCAGGTTTGGGGGCATTAGGTGATCAGTCTTGTTGAGACTCCGAACCCAGAGCTATTTCTTAAGTTTTTGACTTCACCAAAGTGTAAATAGATAGTCTCTGTCTAAAAGTATTTTAATGGGAAGATTTAGCTAAGACAGACCGAAGAGTTTGTCACTTGGTTGGCTGGTCAGTTATAGTCAGACCTCCTGAGATTTACTTTATTTGGAGAAGCTCCTGGAAGCCAGTGACCTGCCCAAACCTTTTGTTCTGTAAAACTGTTCTGGAAATATTGAGAAGCCCAGTTTTCTCACGTGGTTTCTAGCTTCTTCAGACCCAGCCCAAATTAGGAAGTGCAGAAGCACATGATGGTGAAGAACTCTGACGATCTGGCAGCCTTCCAGAATGATATGGAATCTAAGGGGAGATTTATGTTTCATTTTGGAGGCTAGCTCAAGCTGAATTTTACCCTTCCTTCCTGTCCCACACTTTGTGCAACCCTCCCACAAATACTTAGATGTTTGTTAGACAGCCCTGAATTAGCACTGTTATACACATCAAGTGCCCCGAACGTTCCTGGGCTGACTAAGCAGCCAGAACAAAACACTGATTTTCAAGCAAGGCAGGTAACAGGGCCCGGTGGTGGCTCTACAGCTCAGAATAGAGTTTTAAAGAGGGGGCATTGGTAAGTCTGGTGTGCTGTGGTCGGAGATGGTTCAGCACACCCTTTTTTGGTGGGGCAGAAGCTCTAACGCTCCCTGTTTATTTCCTTTGGTTCTTCACTACAACCAGTAGCCGTCTCCCAAGTCGTACGTGATTGTCGTCCCTCTGTAGTCTGTGACTGTGCGAGCTTGCTCTCGGACGACGTGGGTTTCTTTATCCTCTTGTCGGGGAGAGAGAAACGAGGTGCTGAAAGATTAAATGATTTAGGCAAAGGATTTTAAAGTAAAGATGTATATATTCTAAAGCATTTAAAAGATAACAGATTATTATTTGCTTATTAAAGAATAAAATATAGTCTGGGAATCCCAGAATGCCAAGCCAAAGGTCTAAGAAGTCATCTTCTTCAAAGATTTTAAAGAAGTAGCATTTTGAGGAGACCTCTGTCCAAAAAGGTTTGACTGGCCTCCAGATTCTGGTGGCTTTAGGAAAGCAATGTATCACTCAAACCTTGAGTCTCCCGCATAGTAAAGGTAAAGGAACTGACACACGAGACACTTCTCTCTAACGGTCTCCTCTGGAAGATGATGTCGACGGCAGCATTTCCAGGGAAGACCCACGCCCTCGTGCCCAGAGCCAGCATTCTGGAGACTAAAGATTGCACTTTTCGTAGTTCTTTGTCCAAATGCGATCCCATTTCTGTGCCTCTTAGCATGCAGTTAGATTTGGACAAACAAGATTCCTAAGGAATGACTTTATTAACTATAATATGGTTACAGCTATTACATACATATATATATTCTGGTTATAGTTCTAATATGGAGATGTTGTGTGACACCAGCCTGTGGCAGTCTGAATAACACTCCCAACTCATTTGGAGGAGGCCAGGCCCAGAGCTGAGGTGTGGCTCGAACCTTCCCTGTGTCCCTTCTTCACCGTAGAGCTGTGAAGGTGTCACTTTGTTCCCCCTCTGCCTTTCAGTGGTATCTGAAATATATACAAAGTACGTCCTAGTCACATTGCTAACGGATGCTCTGTGAATGATTTCCACATGGACATGTGCGGATTAGAACTCGGAAACCGCGGCCAGTCCAGATACGGGGCCGCCTGCGGACTACTGGCCACACGCGCGGCTTCCGAGCCATCCTTGTCACCCAGGGGGATGGGATCCGGGCATTCCTTTTAAACCTCAGAGGTAGCAGTAAACCTTTCAGTGTTGCTGTTAGCAAGTGTGTGTTTGCCAGTAGATGCCCATTTGTACTCACGTGCCAGCAAGTAGACATCAGCCGCACATCTGCTTCCTCTGTGTCCCCGCGGGCGCCCAGGCGCGTGTGAGGAGCCTCCCATCCAGAGGAGCGAACGCCGCGCCGACTACTGTTATCAGGATTGTGTTGTGTGGAATAATCATCTACATAAATTTTATATGCACAGTACTTTCCCTTTTATATGTCAGGTAAATATTTGTAAAAGTTATACTCACACAAATGAAATTATTATAATGATTACTAATATATTTTTTCCATGTTTCATTGCCTGAATAAAAACTGTTTACCACTGTTAGATCTGGGCGTGGGAGTGTTTTTCCCCCTGGTTAGAAGTCTTCTTATCCCCAAGTGTGAAAATTTATGACAGCCCTGCTTTTCAGAGCTCCATATTTCAGGCTAAAAATAGAACAGATGACATTTTCACGACACTCATTTTGTGAAATTTTATGCATTTGGTTGGGTGTGTAATTAAAACAAACAAACTTTGGAATTCAGACCTTGCCATATAAATTTCCATGCATTCGCATCTGTGCAAACAAAGTTTTTAATTGCGTGCTTCTTGGTTTTGCTTAGAGACTGCATGTCCGCTCTGGCATTTTGCAAGCCCTGAGAACCTAAGTCCCCTCAAGCTCTCGGACTCATTGACAAACACAAGATAAGCCCGGACTGTGCAAACACTGCAAAGCAGCCCACAGCAAAGAGTTCACGTGTTTGTGCTTCTTCTAGGTTAACACCAGGAAAAGCCTTTTCAGTACTGGCCCGGCCACCTCTGTGCTTAAGGGGAGAGGGGCCTGGGCAGGAGACTTCGTGAGTTTTACTGCAGGAAAAGATCAACTAGAAGGCTAGTTATGGGTCCACTCCACAGCTTGGTGGGGGACCCACTGTGGAGAGTCCGAGCACTGTTGACAGCATCATAAGACCACTGCAGCCTATGAAGTTCCTAAAAAGAACGTTTCTCTAGTATGCTCCTGAGCCGGCAGGAGGAGTCCTGTAAAACGACAGAGGAGGTGGCACTGATTCTTGCTACGTGTTCACGACAGTAGAAATCTCATAATTTTCCAAGCATTATTGGGAAGAAGAAGACAGAAAGTACCTTCCTACTCTTACAGTTTTATTCTTAGATAGGATGAGACCAAAGGGGATTTTCACACGTTTGCGAATAGGGGATCGTTTTAGTGAGTGGCAAGCAGTATTTTCGTAAGAGAAACCATGACAGGAGGTAAGGTATTGCACAAGTTAAGGATGAGTAGTGTTTCACGAAATCTGTTGCAGATAGAAGTGTGTATGAATTAGGTCATGATGGAAAGTTAATTTCTTGCTATGGCCGGTGGTCGAAGTGTGAAAAAAAACAGTCTACCAACTTAAGTCCTTTTGCAACTATAGAAACTGAGGCCCGGAGAGAAATGTGGCCAAGACCGCATAGCTTGCATATTAGTGAACATTGTTGCCGTCCCTCACAATGGGCAGCAAAATTGTCACTTCTTCCTTCGTCCTTTTCAAGCTATTTAAATCCAAGCCCTCCCAGGTTTGGATAATATTGTAGGCATTTTCCAAGTTTGTAGGCACTTAAGGACCAGTCAAAACCGAATACCTTTCTCCTCATGCATTTATTCACTTACCAAATACTTCTGCATCTGCAGAATCTAAAGTGAAACGTGCCGAGTTTCTGAGGCTTAGTTAGTGAAAGAGAAATTGTTTTCAAGTTTCACTGAAACGTCACTGAAATATAAATGATATGCTAATTAAAACTTCTTTCCCAGCAGAAAGCCATTCCTAATCTACAAGTCTTTGCCCAGTTGTGATTTATAGGTTATTTTATCTAAGTTATGTGCATGAGGATGGAGACCCAGTGGTGCTTACAATTTAATCACGAGATAAATTTAACCCCCACACAGGACAAGATGGCACGGAACCGTCAGTGCTGTGACAAGCCCTGAGTGCTGGCAGGGTCCTGGAGGAGGGACAGTGGACTAGGGAAAGACACACAAATCCAGCAGAGCACCAGGCCGTGTAGACCAGCACCCAGCTCAGACTGGCTTCAGATCCAGTCTCTCTGTTATTTCGCCTGCCTGAGCTTCAGTTTTCCTAGCTAGGGATAATAGTTCCCACCTCACGAGGGGCTGGGGAGGGCTCCGGGGGAATGCATGCGTCGCGCCTATCCCTTAGGTCCTTACGGGATAGTGATTATCATCACCTAAACTCCCATGACTTGGAGTTTATCCAAGTTTCAAATGGAGACTGGCTCTTAGAGTCAAATGATTTTGCTGTTAGTTTTATTAAACATCTCAAAATAACAAAGCTTTGGAAACTGAAGAGTTACCTAACTTTGTTCTTTTATTTGAGATGAATAGGAGGTCGAAGTGTAGAGGATTAGCTGAAGACAGATCCCAAAGTTAGGGTGATTGAGCAATTAAATGGGGATGAATGTCCCTGTTTGTGTGCCACAGACCATTCCAAGACCCCCCAGACCTGTACCAGCCGTGAGATCCTAGGTGTCTATGATCTCGAGTTTTCCTTTGCCAGAATGTGTAGGTCTCCGTGGGAATATACATGCAGGAACAGACCAGATATAATTCAGTTAACAACTTGACTTTTAGCTAATTTAAAGGAAATTTGAGTCCTCTCTGTGCCAGGTGCCTTTACAAATAGGTCACGTGAACAATTCCATGTGGGTGGAATTTTTTTTAACCGATGGGGGAAAATGAGGTTAAAAAACACTGAACCTAAGGGTGCCTGGGTGGCTCAGTTGGTTAAGCGACTGCCTTCGGCTCAGGTCATGATCCTGGAGTCCTGGGATCGAGTCCTGCGTCGGGCTCCCTGCTCGGCAGGGAGTCTGCTCCTCCCTCTGACCCTACCCCCTCTTGGGCTCTTTCTCTCACTCTCTCTCTCAAATAAATAAATAAGATTAAAAAAAAAAAAAAAAAAACACTGAACCTGAGTCAGTTAGCTGGAGGGTGGAGATGGCATGTGAACCCAGGTCTCTGATCTCAAATCCCATTCTCCTTAAGGCCACTCCATGTTGAGAACATGTCCTTCGAGCATGCAGAGGACGACCTTTTATCTTGCTCTTTTCTCACCTCAAGTGGGAATATTCCAGTGGATAGCAGAAGGCCATTGCATGATGTCTTCACAGTTCAAGAGTGTGACAGCACGAAACCTACTCAGAGCTGCATAATTGGCCACTGTATTGGAAAGGCACTGTAAAGGGAAAACAAAACTCCATTCTCCCTCTCAGGCATTCTGGCTTTGCAGAAAGAGCTCGGCATGGGAGGCTGAGCCATGGGTTCTAGGCCTAGTTTTTGTCAGCTGCATTTGGTCAGGCCCCACCCCCCTCATTTGGACTGAGAATGCTAGCAGATCCCTTCCTCTGATTTGTGATTTGACAGGTCCGTCCAAAGTGCTATCAGGCAAAAGGTCCCCCGGTTTCCCTTTCAGAGTCATTCTGGAAAGGCCTATCTTGAGATGTCTTGACAGGAGTGGGCTTGCCACAAGATGGTGGGGCCACGGGGCTTTTTGCCACGTCCACTGGCTGCAGCGTTCAGAGAGGCAAATGCCAGCGTGCATCACACACACAGGAAGGGAAAAGGCCTGGGCCCAGGCCCCAAGTCAACATCCAGGTTTGTGCTCATTTTCTCCGGCCAAGTGCTCCGATCTAGGCCTCGGTTTTGTCCGCAGGATGAAATCAGGTTTTATCCTCTAAGCCTGTCCCAAGAGTGTCATGACAGCCACTGTCCCCAACACTCCCATGACTCAAGCTGACACGCACTCAACAGTCCCAGGGCCCTATGCCCACAGACTCAGGCCTTTGCTTGCACACCCCGTGGAGATGGCCAGCCCCCATCGTCTGCCTTTCTGAGAATAAATTACTTTGACAAACGTGTTGAGTTCTTAAGATGTGCAAACTCATAATCTAAAATACTCAACTGTAAGACATTCTGTAGACTTACGCCTTTTTCGTTCTAGACATATCAAAAATGACAGCGCAGTTCGCTAATGTGGTGCGTTCAGGCATAATCACCATATTTTACAGAAATCTTGGAAGAGTCCAGCCAGGCCCGTTCAGACCTCGAGGTGCCGTGCAATAAGGCACATATACCTCAGATTCCCCCCGGAAGGGTGGCTCTTACGGTAATTTGCCTCTTATGAAGTCCTGATTTTTCCAGACACATTTTTTTTTCTTTCTCCCTTTCAGTTGATCTTTGTAACATCATCCGGTTTTGGCAGAAATAAGAGGTCTAAAATCGAGTGTTTCCGGCAGCAGCTTCCCGTGCAAATGTGTGTGACCGGTCACTAGGGGGCACCACTCAAACTGCAGGTCAACGCCCATCTGGGAGGCTCTGAGAGAGAAGAGAGCTGACGGTATTCTGCTGGTAGGAAGAATTAGCAGTGAAGAGAAGCCCTGAGCCGTGGAATTTTAATCTCATACGTACATGTGTGCACTGGGTCGCAATTTTAAATGTCTTAGGTTGAGGGTCTGAAAAGTTAAAAAGAAAAGAACAATAAAAGTTTGAAAGCCACCGACTGCAGGTTATGGGGCAGGGGATTATGGAATCAGTCACAGTGTTTTCTGGGAGTGAAAAAGGACTTTTGGTTGCAATGCCCATCTCTTACAAGTAAGCCACAGAGTTAGACCACTTAGTAACCAACAACCACAGTTCATAGTAACTTGAAGAAATCAACCCTTTAGAACAGGAACATGAAGCTGCTTTCAGAAAATAGGACATCATAAAAATTCCTTCCTAATGGTCAGTTGAGAGGGAAAGAGAAAAGAGGAAGTTAAGGGAGAGCATATAAAGAATAAGAGCCTGTGAGCCCAAAAGTGCTCTAAAAAAGAAATTTCTGTTTTACAAGAGAAAAAGCAAAATTCTGTCCTTCCCGGGTGCCCATCGTACTGAACGCTCTCTCTCCTTCCTGTGGCGGCAGAGGGCGGGCTTCTTGGGTTCAAAGCCCCATTTTGCTGCGAGTGCTGAAAGCTAACCTGACTCCCATTTGAAAAAATGAAACCTCCTCTGTTAGAAGACTACTCCTTGATTACAGGTTCTTATCCTAAACTCCCTTTGCACAGTTCAATTCTGAATGATAAATGTGTGTATACGCAGTAAATTCCTGAAAATCTTCACTAGATTCAGGTGATTGTCACCACGAACGCCATTCTTCAACTGAGTTACCTCAAGCAGTTAGGATGCTTGTGACTAAGCACTTAGAAAGTGACTAAGTCATGAAGTTACCACGCATTTTTACAAGTGTGATAAGATGTGAAGTTGAGTTTGAGAGTTTGAGCCGATGAAATAAACC